TAGCTGTAAAAGTCTAAATATGATAAAATTAATAGATTGTCCGTCATTTGTTTTCTAACTAATTCGTTTTAGGACCAAGTGTTGTCCATGGAAATTTCCAAAATTTACAACTTTTCGGTCACTCTCGTTGAACTGGAAAAATTTTTGTTGATATTACGTCTAATATTACGAAGAAATCAGTCCCCACTGTACTCGGCTAAAGATTGGGTCGGTTAAGCTTTTGTTTAAGTAAAATTCCGGCTCTTTCGTCAGGGTTTTGTTTATGCCCCCAATTCCCTAATCGCTTAATTATTTAACTACTTCTTAAGTAGAAATAAGTTGAAAATAATTACTTTGTACTCCAATATTTGTAATCTCGGGAAAAAAGTGGAAAGACAAATTTTTATGACAAATGGATATATAAATCATAAATGTAAGGAAAATAAATTCTAGAGCTTTTTCTGTATTTCGTGCATCTCTCTCATTCATTAAATTTAGTTTTAAATGATGCTACCAAAGTAACAGTTATTTTTTTAACATCGTACGTGTACAATAATTGTACATGTTTTTTTTCTACATCCCCTTAGAGATAGAATATACGAAATCGTAATATCACTGGTTTAACATTGAAATTCGTAAGTAATGTAAGATGGGAGAACAGAATAAAAATATCAGATATTTTAATTGATGTTTTAAAACTTCTGTCAACTATACAGAACTATCGTAAAAACATACCAGTAAATTCTTATCGGTTGGGTTAAGTTATAAATCTACTCGTCATTCATATAATCGGGTGAGGGCGGCTAAAAGCTCAGAACCGGTCCTGGATAGAATTGGATGCGGTCGGTATACATCTGGCATCCACCCGAGGATCTAGGCTTCCACCAGCTAAATCGGGTGAGGTTGGTGCTCTGTAAAGCGCATGAGCGAATCTGGCTTTTTGGATGCTGACAATACAGGTATACCTCGCCTTACGTCGGTAATTGGTTCCAGGAAAACGACTTAAGTCGAAAAACAACGTAAGTCGAATTTACTTGTCTCCGAATCTACTTGTCACTAGGCTAAACCATAAATTACTATTCCCAGTTCTGTATTTTATTTATTAATGCATTTTTAATAATATATGGTTAATAAAAATCTATTTTAAGCTTACAAACAAATAAATTTCAGTTTTTAATAGAGTACAGAAAAAAGTAATCTAAATTTACGAATGCATGTACTGTTCTGTAAATACAGTACATACTTGTAAATGTATATATTTTAATATGATTTTATGTGCTTTAAACTCTTTTCTAGTGATATTACGACTTCAATATTTGTAGCGCACAGACGTAAAGTCGAATAAAATGACTTAAACTTGATTTTTATTTTTCTGTATACTTTTTTGACAAACGACGTATAATCGGGAATGACGTAACTCGAAACGACGTAAGTCGAGGTATACCTGTACAGCACTTCCACTCCGCCACTAATATTCGAATACTGTATACAATAGCAATCTTATTTTTTTTTTCACATGTAGTATAGAAATTTATAATAAAATACATAGTGCGGTTATAATAAAATATTGTGCGATTATTATATATTTGCGAATATTGTGCGATCATATAATTCAAATTAATATGTATTTATTTTTTAGAAAATACAAGAGAAATGGTGCATTCCACCGCTTCCAATGACAGCACGCCACTGATGGTTTCACACACAATTTTGGAAGTTTTTCGTTCGAAAAGTTACGCAACTCCTTTCTGGATTTTTTCGATGACAGATAACTTCAGATTTCTTATTTTGTGATAATTAATCTCTCCATCACCGTCAATCTCCAAAGGACTTGATCGAAAATGAAAGAGATCATCCAAAACATATTTTAACGTCGCACAGCTTAAATATCATTGATTTTACAAATACAGGTATACCTCGCCTTACGTCGGTAATTGGTTCCAGGAAAACGACGTAAGTCGAAAAACGACGTAAGTCGAATTTACCTGTCTCCGAATCTACTTATCACTAGGAAAGCATTTTAAATAATATATGGTTAATAAAAATCTATTTTAAGCTTACAAACAAATAAATTTTAGTTTTTAATATAGTACAAAAAAAGTAATCTAAATTTACAACAGGTTTTTGAATAAAATTTCCTAACAGATGGTGCCACACACAATTTTAAACTTTTTTCCTGGAAAAGTTACGCAACTCGTTTCTGGATTGTTTCGATGACAGATAACTTCAGATTTCTTATTTTCTGATAATCAATCTCTCGATCACTGTCAATCTCCAAAGGACTTAATCGAAAATAAAAGAGATCATCCAGAAAACATTTTAACGTCGCACAGCTTAAATATCATTGATTTTACAAATATAGTACACTAAACTCAAATTACACATACATTAAATATAAATTTTTAGATACAAAAGAAGATACCTTCAAAATGTTATGTAGAATTAAGCATGAAATGAAGCAACATCAGCTACTTTCAGTCAAACTACAAAATTTCTCTGAATAAAGCATAACTTGTCTAAGCAAAAATATAGTTACTGTACAATTATAGTTACTGATCCAGACATAATAAAAAATCTAGGAAAGAGTTGCGTTAATTTCCCGGCTGTTATGAGATTTTATTTTGAAAACCACTTTTTAATTATTAAGCATAATAAATATATAAAATTGTATGTATGGCCAAGTGTTAAGAGTTTCTGTTGAAAAAATTTACATATTTTTAATTATTATAAAATAGCAAAAAAATTAATAGAGATAAGTTTATAAAACATTGTAAATGGCAACAAGTAAAATCTTCGTTAAGTCTGACCCCTCGAGGTATATTATACGTGACCAGTGGCGAGCCGTCTATGGAAGCTGTGGAAGCGCCGCTTTCCTTGTATTTTGTGAAATATAAATCCATATTGTGCGATTATATTCATATTTTAAAGTATTAAAAATTTCCATACTACTTGTGAAAAACAATGATAAGATTAGAATATAAATTCGTATATGCCTATTCTCAATAGAAGCCCTGTATTGTCGAATACGGGACAGCTTCCATGGAGAAAGTACTTGAATGGCATAAAGCAGCCAGATTACAGGCATTCACGCTTGCGCTTTACAGTACCAGGGGCGCCGCTAGCTGTTTAAATGCTCGTGTGCAATACCGATTATGCCGCCCCCTGTTTAACTATGACTACCTACGCTCAGCATGCCAGAAAGGCTCTTTAGTGTTGTCTCATAAGGGTGTGAAAAAAGAAAAGAAATACTTTACAAAGAAAAACTATTTATTATTACTAAGTTATTTTTGTTTACTTAAGTGTAAAACCATATAAATATTTATCTACAGAAATTGAACTCTTCTTGCCTTTATGTTTGCGAAATCTGCTATCAATTTTCTTGTATCCAAACTGTCTAAGATTTCGTATTCAATTGAAACTACAGCTAAATTACTTAGTCTTTGCTGGTGTATTGTTGACCTTAAATAGTTTTTCTATAATTTTTAACTTTGAAAAGAACCTTTCACCAAATACAACTGTAACCGGCAATGCAAGTAATATTCTTAGTGCTATTGCTGTGTTCGAAAATGTTGAAATTAATTAAGTCATCAGTAAAAAAATATTGTAATAGGGTTTGTGGATCATTAGACTGGTTTTCTGGAAAATGCAACTTTAAAGTATTGATTTCATTCAACAAATCAATACTGTCAATGTCTGTTTCACTACTTGAATTGTCTTTAAGATTCAGATTTAAATCCTAACCAAGTTAAAATATCATTAATTATACTTAGACCCATGTCAGAAGAATTATTAAAAAAATAATTGCAATTTGATATGTGATAGAACTGTTTGAATGCATACAAGTACAAACTGAGAAGGAATTTCTGTGGGGATTCCCTATTTTCTCCAGTCCTGTCAACTTCTGTCATAGAGCACGACTATGAGTACTTGGCTTTCGGGCGCTGCCGTTTGGCTCAACCTGCCGACAGACGTTTCACATTGCATCTTAATTCTGATAAATGCCAATAGAGGCGCTGTTAACGCTATAATATAAATAAGAATGTAGTAATTGTGCGCCGGTCAAAGTTTTTTCTCCATGTTAAGACATTTCTTTTGCTATAAGTAGGCTGGGTATTATGACAATGACATTCAATATTACATGACCAATCGCTCGATTTGCTGACCCCTGGACGTGCCGCCCGCGTGCGGTGCATGCCCGCTTACGGTGGGCCTGTACAGTACATCACCCTCACGCGATTGAGCTGGTCGATGCTACACACCAAAATATTGTATAACGCTTCCAATGATTCTATCAGTGGCCGGCACAGCTTCCCTATCATCAAATGTCATCGCGACCATCCTTTATCCATCCTCTCGACGTTTTACAACCAAACTTTACTAGCATCAATGCCCCTTATATACCAGCTACCATGCGAAATTTTGTTCCTTTATCTTCACCCCATCCTGAGATATTAAGCAAAATAGACGTCAACACACACACATGGACGTAGTGACACACAGACAAGAAAGCAATTTGGTCCTTTTTTTTTACTTTCTTGGGTTCAGGAAGCTTCAAAACAAGGAGATTTGCAAAAGAAGATGAAGGTCAAATCTGACAGCATTGCATTACTTTCCTTTTTATGAAGATATAACAACCAAGAAAGTAAAACGTACAATAGGGCAAAACGTGACTTCATAAAATAATAGGAACATGTAATTGCCAGTCAAGTGTAACGTATACACAATATATAAAAATTTAAAGACAGTGGGACCACACAATTTCATCAGTAAAAAACAGTTATTTTTTTAAAACGAACACCGTGGCCAAAACGTCTAATTTCATAGTAAAGAACCGAAATGACTGTTACTTGAAATCGAAAATAACGTAGCTCATTTCAGAGTTCGATAGGCCATTATTTATACAATTATACTGTTTTAAAAATATTTTTTTCTATTTTCCCCCCTTATATTTTACCATTTTACTTCTTTTTCTCGTCCTTAAAGCAACACTGCAATCTTACAATAAAGTATTTTTCTCTCACCTCTAAAGGTTCTGATTTAATTGTTTTAGAACACTTCACATCTGTGTTAAATTCTTTCTTGAAATTTTTAAAATCAACTTCAAATTTTTCTTCGTTTCGTTCAATTGTAAAGTCCGAATAATTCGTTTCTAACTCTTCTTTTATCTTCATTTTCTCCATTTACAATATTCTCGTATGTCAACGATCTGTATTCAATCAAAGAATTAATTTTAGTTAATTAATAAATGTTCATTCGAAATTTAGAGCAAAGACAAGTAAAGACATGATTATTGTTCCCGTTATAAGTTGTAACAGTAAATAAGAGGATGCACTCTCAAGGTTAACGGAAGAGATTCCAGTGGTAACACAACAGCACACGTGATACTTGCAGCTATAAAATCACTTATACCAGTGTTTCCCAACCTTTTTTGTGCTATGCTTCACCTACGCCTTTCTATTGTTCGTCTGCCCCCTAACATATATAGCGGCTATATAGTTAACTTAGTCTGAACGAGTCCATTTTCAAATTGCCCCCCTTAACAATTGCCCCCTGGGATGTGGGGCCCCACGTTGGGAAACACTGACTTATACAGTTAATAGTCAAGAATTTTTAAGTTGGGTTTAAATTCATTTTTAATAACATAAACATCAGAGTTGAAATATATTTATATTTGAAATATTAATAAAAACGCATCAAAATTTATGATAATAATTCAATTTATGTGCGCCCCTCACACTTGGGGGCCCAGTGCTTTAATCTTATTAGTCCCTATGTAGATTTGCCACTGACTACATAGCCTGATAGTTCAACGTTAACTCACTTATAATTAAAAGAAAAAAAATTAAAAAAATAAATAATTTTATAACATAAATGAATAAAACTAGTAAAAAATATGAAAATGAATATAAATTTGATTATCTTTTGTGAGAAACTGCATTCAAATCATTTTTAATACTTATGTGAAAAGAAACGACAGTTGTAATTAATTAAAAATAGTATAATTAATGCAGAAAATTCAATACAAAATTAATATTACGTGATGATCCACAGTTCATAATTTAGTTTTAACAAAAGTTTGAAATATTTGTTCGATATTTTCCTATATTTTTGTAAAACATACGAAATTGTAGGAAAAGCTTCCTACACCAACGCTCCCTAACCCAGTTTTCCTTCTATGAAAAAGGCCTGAAAATGTTTTTCGGAAAAACTTTTCTATGAAATTCACACTTTTACTCCTTATCGAACATTGTTCTCCAAATCTGGTAATTGTTAAACACATTATTCCTTCAAACCCTTTTTAAAGAGTTAAAAGAAAGATTGTCAGTGACTCCAACCTTTACCTACGGTGACCGTTGGCAAATACTCTACCTCTAGTGTCCCCTGTCAATCACTTGCTTCTTTTCTACCCTTAGATTTACTATCCACCCACAGAGGGGCGTCGCGCCCACTTTGGGAACCGCTGCGCTAAACAGTTCAACTTGCGACACGTGTCGGAAGAGTTGAAATTTTGTTTCGACAGTTCTAATTGGAGGAGTTCGGCGCTTAAAAATGAGGTCACCCTCACACAGGATAGTTTCCTGGATTCTGCCACTTAAAACTTATTGTCTGTGTGAAAGAAAGACATATCTCCGACGCACTTAACTCAAATCTCCCGGCAACAATTGAAATTTAGCTGGCGCCCTCTGTTATCATATTTAATTGTTAAAATGTTTTATATTTTTAAATATTATAATACGGAAAACCTTAATTTTAAGGGTAGGGACGAGTTTTATAAAAATTTACAAATTCTAGTAACGAGTAAAATCGTCATTAAGTTCGCCATGACGCGTTTCTATCAGCCAATAACGGTTCGTCTGGTAGTCACGTGAGAAAATAAAATCACGTGGTGTTGTAATGGCAGAAAGAACGATGCATTAACTGAGATAACGGACATTAGAATAAAGAGGAAAAGATAATAAATTTTACACAAATAATCACATATAATTTAATTCACAGGTAAAAACAAACGAATCTTAGTCGAAGTAGTATTCTTTATCGACAGATCTTGATCGAGGAATAAACGTGTTTTGTACAGGAGTTCTTTCTCGAAAATATCTATCATCCAAAATCTTCTAGTTAAATAAAGCGAGCCGTACAAAACGAAATTTGTAAACACGTGGATAACGGCAGTTTCGGTATCGTTCGCCATCTTGAATACTGTACGCATGCGCCGAAATGCCGCTTGTGTGGTTGTGCAGCTGCGCTGCGTTTACGTCACCGCTTTTCGTTTCCGCGACACGAGTCAATCCACCATAATGGAGATCCCATTAACTCTCCATCCCGTCAATCTTAAATCTTCGATATAATAACATCAATGGCCGTAATGAAAGGGAGGAAGACCCGGGAAAAGGTGGATGAACAAAATAGCTGAACACCTAAAAAAAAGGACTGACGATGTAACAAAGGTACAAACGAGGTGGGTTCTAAAAACAATATTTGTTTACCATATATCACGTGGCTTTCGTACCTACAAATTATGACGTCAGTTAGTGACGCGCTACCTGTTGACTTTCTTATTAGTTTTGTGTGCACCCCCTTTCTTACTGCTACAATGCGAACAAAAACACAGTTTACTTACCTGTCTTTGTTAGGGCTCTTTCGTACTATGGCCTACTTGTTCCTCTAGCGTCTGCTAAGTCTTAGTTCTAAATTATGCCGCTATGCGCGATCAGGCGCCACTCGCGGGAACTTGTTTCGTCTGTTTTGAGTCAAATTACTGTATTAGTTAAAAGTCAAAATAAAATAAATTTATAAATAGACACTTCGCTCTTAAATGAGTTATTCTATAAAAAAAGACTAATATTCTAAGATTATCAGATGGAATTACGAATAAAATAAAACATAGGATGACTTAAAATTTGGTATTTTCCGACTAAGTGCAATTATTAGTAGTAATTGAACGTTCTGAAATATGTTTAAAAGTATATAGTTTAAAAACATTACTGTTTGCATTAATTATAAACTCATTACTCACGTGACACACACAACCATTATATTGTCTGGATATTATTTTGGAAAGTATACTTAGAGAAAAAGACAGGGTTCAAGACTAAAGGTGCAACTATGCAGATGTAAATTTAGTAGCAAGCGAGAGATTTCGAGTGATATAGTTTTCGTAAAGAAAGACATGCACAAGTGAGAAGCAAGAAATCTCTCCAGTGTGAGCAATTTTCTGGTTCTCACACATATCTGACAGGGTTTGATATTTATCACGTCTCACTTCTTCTCATCACATTCTCTCACTTACTTGGAAAATTTGTTCGCTCGCGTCTGCACAGTCGCACCCTAAAACCTGCTCTCACTCAGCCAATTATAGGTGGATGGAATGTAGTGCTTATTAGGGGTTCCCCCTAACACTTGGCATGTTTTTCTTTAATAACTACAACTTTGCAATTTCTAAACAAATTATAACATACTACATAATTGCAGTATGCAGTGCCATAACTAGCCATTCCTGTGCCCTGTGCAAGAATTTGCATTTAGGCTCCTTAATTAATTAGGTTTGGGAAAATAATAAAACAAATAGTTGCATTTTGGGCCCCCTTCCAAGTGGGCCCTGTGCGGAAGCACCTGTTGCACCTGCCTAGATACAGCACTGGCAGTATGATTCCTTATATGCAGTAGTTTTCAACATTAAATAGTAACATAATTAACATTCTTTCACCCCGTAAGGGCAGATAGAACCAAATCTCAAGATGTAATTTTTATAATAAATAAAATGTCAAGTGATTATAGTATAGTCATCATCATATTGTTTCTATCCAGATCTATCCCTGATAGAAGAATATACTAATATTAGGAATGCCAATGTTGAAAAACTGCTACAATACTATACTACAATGCTGTAGAGGTTTGATGTCATTTAGCCTCTCTATTTATGATTTCATTTGCATTAATTTCCATTGAAATAATAATTGAGACCTAATATTAAATAATGTTAGCAGAAAACAAATTACTACAAAAAATCTAGTTAAATAAATAAGAAAATACCAAATCAAATGATAAGCACAAATAATTAAATTTTAATATCATTAAATTTCAAGTATATAAATTAACAAGTTTACAATTCAAATATACATTTATCATTACTCAATAAGAAAAGTGTTTATATAAATATCATAATTGTCAAATAACTAGGATTTACAATAGTAAAATAAGCTTTTTTAAAAGCTTTGATTAAAAATAACTATTAAATGTTACACATTTTTGTATAGAATTCTTAAATATACATTTATCATTACTCAATAAGAAAAGTGTTTATATAAATATCATAATTGTCAAATAACTAGGATTTACAATAGTAAAATAAGATCTCTTAAAAGCTTTGATTAAAAATAACTATTAAATGTTACACATTTTTGTATAGAATTCTTAAAAGTGCATTTAAGAATTCCATTGAACTTCGGATATTCAAAGAATTGCTCTTGTTTTGTGGAGTGTTTTGATAATGCTCTGGTAATTTTAACATTCTTTTTCCTCTTCTTACTGGAAGTAAATCAATGAGACTCAATGTTTTTCTTTTATTATTTTTTTGTTTTGTTAAAATTTTCTTTGTTAATAGTTGCTCTAATTGTTTATAATGTGGGCTTTATAAATTTTAACAATCTATCTAAATCTTCCAATTCCTCTACAAATTGTAAAGCTTGAATTATTTTTTTAATATCGTCGAGTTGACATAGTGCATTTTTCCTTTTTATCTCCACTTTTGTATTTAATGTATTTGGTTCATCATTATTTATATTTTTGCTTAAGTGATCTAATAACACTTTTTTTTTTCTATCATCGTTATTCTTTCATATAAGAAGTTCTCCCTGCTGTCCTTCAAACTGTTTAGAAACTGATTCAGCTATCAATTGGCAAACAAGATGAATGTGTTTGCACATATTGAATTTGATAACTAAATCAATGCATGTGCATGTGTACATATGAATGCAACATTTACACTCATTATACACTACTTGACATTCACAATTTTCTTTTACCGTAGCAACTGTATAGATATCTGATCGATTTGATAAAGGAATTTTCTATATGTTATCCTCTTTTATAACAAGATCTTTGCATAAGATTAAACTAGTTCTGTGCCTTTTTCTTAGATCAGAAAGCTTGCTTGTTACTTTTCCTTTATGCATGACAATGATTCTAACATACATCTTATCTCTTAAAAAATCATTAAACTGTGAATGGCTTTATCTAGGTGCTTTACTCTCTTTTCTTGCAAATGTGTGTTTAATGCACTTATGCATATTCTGTATCTGCATATTTGTATTTAGGCCACAATGTAGTCTGTAGCAGTAAGCCGAATATTTTGCAGTTTTCATGTAGTTTTCTTTGAAATATTGTCCAAAATCAGTTGTGTCAGGATCATTAACCAATTTTATCACTGCTGCTGCTGAAATTCATTTAAAAGTTTCTTCATCTGTTTCTTGCATCAGTTATCATATGATTTTATACACTTCAGTCTTTTTTTCTTTAGACTTTATTTTACAGAGGTTCTTGCACCATACATGGTCAACATGCCACGAGCAATATAATCTTTGAGCAGGTTCCCCCATAACATGCACCCAAGTATTCAAAAATGAATCTGCCATATCTGACATAAATATGTTTGGTGACAAGGAACTTACTTGTTCTTTAATCTTAGAAAAAAAGATCTGTAATATTTCCTTGTCACTTTTGTTACTAAACAAAAAGGCACAAGGAAAACCTTGTCACATATCATCAATTACTATCAGTGATAAGCATTAAGTCCATGGGTCCCATCAATACACATAACATCATTTCTATATTTTTCTAACAAAAACCTGACCATCATTCATAGTACCTAAAGCAAAGTTAGATTCTGCTAAATGAAGATATTCTTCATATTTTGTACTTTGTGGTTTATAAAACAACACACAATCATCACTGCCATCTCTCATTTCATTCACCCAGAAGTCTACACTTAATAAATCATTTGGATGTCTTACAGAATTTGAGACAATTGGAAACTACTTTCAATATTATGTAGATACTTTCTTGTTACTAAATGAAGTCTTTGTAGCTCTTCAGGTGTTGATAGGCTGTCTCTGACTTCCTCTATTATGGCATTGAAAGGTTTCCTCAAATAAATTTTTGTTCCTAATACATTTCTGTCGTTCGATGACAAAACTGTATGACATAATTCATTTTGATGGGCTGCATGTTGCAGAGTGAAGGTAATAACACACTTTTCATCGTCTTTTATGCTCACTTTCATTTCAGATAAACAAAATTCATTAATCTTTTTGCTTCTTTTTATATTTAAATGAGAAATAATTTTACCTTACTTTTGAAATAACCTGATCTATGACAGTTATGGTATATAGAACTATTAGGCTTAATGTTCCTTTCTGAACCACTTATTATAATGTAGTTAACTGTTTTTTTCACTTTATATTTCTGTTTCCATTCCTTGAAATCACTTAATGAATTATATGTCTGAATATTATTAGTAATAAAAATGTCATCCACCTTGCTGAAATGTGACAATAGTTCTTTTTTCTTATATGCTCTTACACACAAGCTGCATTTAAATATTTTCGAAATTCGCTTCAATTGCTATAACTCTCTGTTTTTTTGTTTTTTTTATGTTTCTCCGTATATGTTTATATAAGCTTTGTTTAAATTTGTATTTGACATGGCATATACTGAACTCCAAGTCCATTTTAACTAAAACTTACCACTAAGAGAAGACCATGTGTAACAAAAACAACAACTCAAAACAGCATTGCCAGATGTTTTTAGTATTTGTAGCAAAAAATTTATTTGAAAAACACAAATATTTGTTTTATTTGGGTTTCTAATTAATAAAAAATGAGAAAACATCATTTTAAAGTGCATTTTTATTCTGAAAACACTGAGAAAGCCAGTTCCCGCTGGTGACGTCATTTGTCGTAGCGGCATAATTCAGAACTAAGACTTAACAGACTCTAGATTAGGTGTCCCCAAAGTGGTCGATATCAACCCCTTGGGGTCGATAAGACTTTTCCAGGGGTCGATTAATACACGAGGATCGAAAGGGGGTCGATTAATACAAATAGGAAAAAAAATAGAATACAGTAGAGTCTCGAAAACTTGTCCTAATGTAGACCAAAGGGTGGCCGAGTTTGTGAAAATGCCGGGTTATCAGGAATGGGGTTAAAAAAAAGAAGTACGAATGTTTCCTCAGAAAATACTGTACTGTACTTGTATGTATTGTTTACTTGAGAATACAACAGAGAATAAACTGCCCAAATACCCTTAAACAAAGGAAAAGTACGTCCTTTATGAAGGCATAGAGCCTTTACTACATGAAAATGAAAATTAATGAATATGCTGTGTACAGTAATTTACCTGATAAGACAGACCTCAGAAAAATACTTTATGAGGCATAAAGCTGTCTATGATGAAAATTAATCATTTAAGGGTATTTTTGCCCTGCCAGGGTGTGGCCGAGTTATCCGGAGTGCCGGGTTATCGAGTGCCGAGTTTTCGAGAGTCTACTGTATTTCAATAAAAATTTGAAACACGGATATGATCAACAACATTACTGACTATACTAGTTATAACTTGAGTTTTGCCTTAGCCTTCACCGCTTTAAGCATGAGCTACTCTGTTTTCACACATCTGGCAACTGTACTAGTGTTACAAACAAGTTATGAATGCTGGTAGTTCATTATACATAGACATACGTTGCAC